CAAGTGTTAGGATTAAGTTGTGTGCCACCACACCAACTACTGTTTTTGTTTTTTGTTTTTTCTTTTTTTTCTCCCAGGCCTACATATATTTTTAAACACACAGTAAACCATTGAGAGTTTTTTTTCGTCTTTGAATCTATCTTTACTGTATATCTCCCTTTTTGTGACCACATAAGTCTTTAATTTGCTAAGCAATGTGGGTAGGATTAAAGCCATGGCTCTGACAGCTGGATCCAGCCTATTTCTTAGCTTTCTGAGATTCCAGTCAGTACCTCATGGCAGAGGTACTGACTGTAACCATGTTTAGTGCCACAAGTCTATGGCATTTCAAGGTCCCTGCCACCAAGCAAGCTGCAGCTGTGTGCTCACAAACCACATTCAAATGCTCTGAGACTGGACCTCCTGCCTGAAAGAATCAAAGGAGTTTGCACTGGCAGGATGGCCCAGAAAGCCGGCATTTTAAAACGGCACGGCTTTTTTCCTGCTATGGCTGAAAATCAAAAAGCTTTTCATCAACACCATTTAAGTGTTTCGTGGCAGGACCTCTTAAAAGAGCTGCAAGGTTTTATAGCTAAGGCTGAGTTAGGAAGCCTTCCTTAAATAAGACACATTTTGCCTCTAGCAAACAGAGCCCACCTGAGAAAATGCTGCTATCAATAAGCTGTGCTTAACTCTATTCTTTTTTATCTAGAATTCTTCCCAAGCTCACAGGCTTTATGTGGATGCAGCTGTCCATGTGGGCTCCATTTGTTGACTGAGTTTTCTGTCCTGTCTGGTCCCGCAATCGTTCAGTCCCAAAGAAATCACACAGAGTCTACGTTAGTTATAAACTGATTGGCCCATTAGCTCAAGCTTCTTATTAACTCATAACTTATATTAGCCCATTATTCTTGTCTGTGTTAGCCATGTGGCTCGGTACCTTTTTCAGTGAGGCAATCACATCTTGCTTCTTCTGTGGATGTGTCAGGACTCTATTACAGTTTTTTTTTTTAAAGAAATAGTTAATAGTGTGATTTCTTATGGCTTTTCCAGACATCCCTTACTTTTATTCTCCCCCCCTTTTCTCATTTTCCTTGTATTGTACTTTTCTCCTGTTGAACACCCCCCCATCCCCAGCAGGGGTCCTTTTTTTATTTTTCTGCTTTTTACAGTTACTCCAGGATATGTACTTACTTCTGAAGATGTGGAGCTAAGAGCCTGGAGAGAGGGGGAGGGGGAAAGGGAGAAGAACATGAGATATTTGTCCTTGCTCAACTCAGTGAGATCATTTCTAGTTTTATCAATTTGCCTGCAGAGTTCATGACTTTTTTTTCCCCTTTGGCTCTTGGGAGTATTATCAGCCTGAATAAGTAGCCCATAGTGTAAATGTACATTTTTATTACCCATTCATTGGTTGAAGGACATTTAGGTTGTTTCCATTTCTTAGTTATTATGAATAGAGCAGCAGTGGACATGGCTGAGCCAGTGTCTGTAAAATAGGATGTGTTCTTTGGGCATATGCGAAGGAGTCCTGTGTGTAGTTGAGCCGTGTGACAGATGGATTAAAAAGTTACTTTTAACTTTGCTACAAATCTTGAAAGGATAACTATATTGTTTACCTATTTTCAAAAGGTACTTGAATGAAAAGCAAAGTTTAACAGTTGAATATTGTTACATTCTTTAGGTAAGTGTTTAAGGGTCCTTATAATAGCTGTACAAACAAGATAATCAAATCCAGATAAGAAGAGATCAATTGCTTTCTGAACATTGTGAAATATTTTGGATTTGATATCCCCATCCTCTGTTACTCTACCAGTATAAGGATTTTTAGGGGCAAGACTCTGAAGATACACGCTTTGAGGTCAGGACTGTTTTCATCATAGGAAGACATTTCCTTCATTGTGCCTATTTCAAGTCTACAAAGCAGTTTTCCAAGTGCTAGATGAAATAGAATGTTTTAGCTGGTTGGATAGTGAGATGGTTTCAAAAACAAGTATGTAAGAATTTTGCTAATTCATAACATGGAAAGTATTTTGGATAAACCCTACAGAAGCAAAAAACAGTGGGATCCAGAGAACCACTAGGAAATCACTGAATTAGAATAACCTTTACAGATTTTGATGTCATCCTTGCACAAGGACTATGCTAATTCTTTTATCTGTGCTGTTAAGGGGAGTTCCCTGATGTATCAGTCCCCTTCAGAAACAGAAGCAATTGTCTCCCATATTGGCCTTTCAAGAGTGAACCCTAAATCAAAATTCCTTAATTTTTTAGGCCGATATCTCTTCTTAAATGCAATTGCAAACCAGCTGCGGTACCCAAACAGCCACACTCACTACTTCAGCTGCACCATGCTGTACCTTTTTGCCGAGGCGAACACCGAGGCAATTCAGGAACAGATCACAAGGTGAGATTTATTGTCAAGATGCCTTAAAAGGGCCCTTCTCCCCTGCACTCTGAATGGAGCTCTATGCATTTCCAGTTCAGCTGTCTTACACTAAAGCATGTCTGGAGGATTACAAAAGAAGTTGCTATTGACAGTTTGCTTTGCTGTGCTAGGGACTAGTTTACAATAACAGCAACATACTTGGTGGCAAGTATGTATCTAGTGGCAGCAGCATTTGTATCCAGATTCTTGAATAATACAGACTTCATTTGTGTATTTCCTTTTTTAAGGTTTTAAGGAAGAGCTGCAGTAGGATCATACTGTTTTCTGTTGTTTAAATATGTATAGGATTGGAAATTGGTACATAGTACAGTGAGGTACCTTAAAGACTTAATTTATGATGGGTGTGATGATGCACGCCTTTAATCCCAGCACTAGGGAGGCAGAGGCAGGTGGATCTCTGAGTTCAAGGCCAGTCTGGTCTAAAAGTGAGTTTCAGAGAGAACAGCCAGGGCTACACAGAGAAACCCTGTCTCAAAAAACAAACAAAACCCAACTTTAATTCACCTAAATGCTAGGACTCATGCATGTGAACTGTATTTATTGCATGGATGACAACGTACTATTTTGTTTGTAATTATGTCTAAAGCTGCAGCAAAGGCTTCAGTCCTTAATCTTTGCCCCCAGGAAACAGTGAAGTGAGAATAAAGCAAGCATTGCAAGTAGCAGGTCACAGTATAATAATGTGTAAGCCAGCACTTGAGCCACATAGAAAGAATTCCACCCATTTACATATGCTATAGTATTGTTAAAAAATTCTAAGTGAATTAATAGAAAAAGAAGCAATGGAGGTATAGCTGTTAATTTGTTTATGTATTAATTAACCCTTCTGTCCTCTTTTTAGGGTTCTCTTGGAACGGTTGATTGTAAATAGGCCGCATCCTTGGGGTCTTCTTATCACCTTCATTGAGCTGATTAAAAATCCAGCATTTAAGTTCTGGAACCATGAGTTTGTACACTGTGCCCCAGAGATTGAAAAGTGAGTGTAAAATTATTTAAGTACCTAGCAGGGAAACAGAAGGGGAGAAAAGCTTCTAATTTGGGTCTATGAGTTAAAAGGCAGTTATAGCTGGTGCACATTAAGATATCCTTAGGCCTGAATTTGTACTTGTCTTCACTTTCCAGGTTATTCCAGTCTGTTGCACAGTGCTGCATGGGACAGAAACAGGCTCAGCAAGTGATGGAAGGGACTGGTGCCAGTTAGATGAACTGTATATCCCTTGCCAGAGGCATCGACCTTGGTTTCACTGAACCGAGTTCATAAACTGAAGAATCCTTTCAGCTCCTCCTGATTTTCCCAGCCCTTTGGTTCTCGGGTGTCTGCCCCATCAACTGCTGGGGTTGGCCTCTTGTCTATGTGGGCGAGTTCCAAAGTTTAAATGCATTTTTTTTTGACTCTTGGCCAAAATTTAGAAGATGCTGTGAATATCATTTTGAACTTGTGTAAATATATGAAAGAGAAAACTTTTGTCTGAACTTCTTCAGTGTGTGCAAAGTGTGTCTAAGGGAAGAACATAAACCGGTACCTTGCAGTAGAGGCAGTGATGGCATGCTCTTGGCTTGAGCATAGCTCAAAAGTCTTCTGAAATTTGTGCATTCCAAAGAACAGCAAAACATTACATTCCATGTAACACTTAAAAAAGGTAGTGAAGCTTGAAAAACAACTTAAGTCGTTAAAAAATGTAGGCATGCTAGACTCCAGTAGCCTGAGAACACAGGAAGGTCTACGGTTGAGATCCAGGGGGTTTGTTTGCATTTTCTCAGGGAATCTGAGCCTGCTTTTTGGTACTAAGGGAAAACATAGCTGAAGAGGAAACCACCTCTCGTCAGGCTCCCTGTCACCATGTAGGTTGTTCGGCCTAGTTAAATAACAAGAGTCAGATGGACTAATACAGTTGGGTTTTGTAAGGATCTTTAAGTGTTCTGAGAAGACATGTTCTCCATGTTCTGTTTTGTTCCTGGGCCCTGGCTCAGCTTTCTTGTATGTGTTAAGACCCTAACCATAAAGTCATGACATGCATAGCAGTCCACCGTGCCCTTCCCAGTAGCAGCCGCCACCAGTGCTGGTGAGAACAAAGTGGATAGCCCAGTCTCCCGGGAAATAATCACTTCTTGCTGAATGCTCAGATTTTCCCGTTACTACTTACAGTTGTTTTTTTGTTGTTGTTTTTGTTGTTGTTTTTTGTTTTTTTAAGAGTCAAGGTCCCTACTACTATGCAGACCAAATTGTCCATCTCTGACATCAGCTTCCTTGAGGCTGGGATTACTGGTATACTACAACCATGCCCAAGGAAATTTTTGTATGCCTTTTCTGTTTCAACAGGGAGAGGAGAAATTGTTGGAGCAAGAAAATCTACAGTTAAACGAATTCAGTTTAGGATTGAGGCTTTTTGGTATGAATAGGTAGTGTTTGAAACAATTCCACTTATTTACCTTGCCGAATGAAGCTTGGCTGTCCTTTTGTGACACTGAGAACCAACTTGAGACTGCTGAGCAGACAAAAGTGCAGCAGAGCCACCTGCTATGCTTCAGTTCTCTACAGGAAATGACTTCAAAAAGGTTGAACTTCTCAATGTTGAGCTCAATTCACATTTATTAAATTTTATTAAAAACCTGAAGACATTAGCAAAAATAGAATGTTCTTAACAATTGGCAGCAAGTCCCAAATGCACTGATTTCAATCCTAAAATGCCAACATGTAACTCTTGCCTTGGATTAATCCTTGTTTATCTTTAGCTACTTTTACAGTCCAAACGGCAAAAGACCCACATTTCTGTCCTTTACAGGCAACAAAACGCAAGCTTAAAAGGTTCTCATTGCTGGTCATTCAGGGAAGCTGCTCATTTGTGAGTTCCAACAATTGGTGTAAGATCATCTTTTGACCATAGCGGACTTGTAAGGCTTGCTGTTCCCGCCAGCTGAGCTTGGCGTAGACTTCCTTATTGCTAAGTAAATCTTGATCCGTTTTTAAGTCTGTGGCATAGGTCTGTAGGGTCAACAGAACACTGTCTCGAAGAAGCCGTCTCCATGCTACTTGGAGCTTGGGGATGTTTGTGATTTTCAGACTGTCCTCTTCCCTTTCTTGCTCTCCCCGTCCAGCCTGAACTTTATAGCCTTGGAACTCCTCGGCAGGCATGCACAGCACCTGGAAGGAATGTGGGCCCTTAGTTATAGGATGTACTACTCTCTGGAGGAAAATCCGAGTCTCTTGGTCTTTAGTTTGGCTTTTCTAAATACCAGCACCCCGTAACTGTCAGCCTATACCTTGAGTGTGGTGGCTAGTTCCTCTTCAGTCAATACCTCCTCACGACCAATCACAAAGGCTCCCTCTTCCCCTACCATCTCCAGTTTGCACAGGAAATCCCAGCGTTCACACAAGAGCTGCCTTTCAGCTTCATCCTTTGTTCCTGTGAAGTAATGGATGAGAATGGGCGGGCATAACTCCAGCAAGCCAAATGCCCTCAGCAAAAGCATCAATGGAACGTGGGGCAGACGCACCCTGCAGTGCGGCGTCTCGGACTGTCACCATCTGGATGTCAGCTGTGTCATCTGTGTTGTCAGGATAGGGCTCAGCAAAACCATACATATGAATCAGTTGCCAATTAGCCATCTGCCCATATGTGTTGAAAATCTCATGACCTTTAGGAATGGGCTGAGTAGCTACCATCCGGAGATAATCCTGGGATAGAAGGGAAAAGCTGGGGCCACACCTTAGCCCCCACCAGCCTATGAAGAGTACTTCGCTTACGAAGTAATCTCTTGAGTTTCAGATAGCCAGGGCTACACAAAAAGAAGTTAAACTTCATGTCAGAATAGTAGGAATAAGTGAAAGTCACATATGCTGCTAAGGTCTAAACGTATAAACCAGATGTATGGAAGTTAGTGGGACCGGAGCCTTCTACCCTGCTTCAGCCTTACAAGATTATGGGTGGAAGCCACCAGGCCCAAACCATTAGCTAATTGCTAGTCACATACACGTGTGTCTTAAAATGTTACATACAGAATCAACACTAAAGTGGGGGCTTTCTCTGGCCATGAACATTCCACCTCTTGAAAAGTACTGAGTTATTGCTGTTCCACGATGCTCACCATGGAGCCTGAGATGACATGGCAGAGCGGGCAGGTTTTTGGTGGCCTTAAGGTGTGCCCACGCCATCTTACTGTAACTAGATACCAGAAGTACACAGGAGAGTAGCTAACCTCATCTACTTATTTTCACGATAGTAGAAAAATGGAGCCCAATGATTTGACTCAATGCACATAACCAGGCCAAGGGGTTCACTCACTGCTGAGTACTCTAGATTGGCATTGTGGTTGGCTATATGGTTTAGTATGTCTGCAGCAGGCACCATCAAGGGGGAGTTGGGCTCCTTTTCATCGTCCTCTTCCTCCAGCGGTTCTTGAAAGCTGCCGCAGAGAGAACTCAGCTAAGGCACGGTCTTGGGTGAGGGACCTGGATCACTGTTCTTTCCCACCTTGCCCCGCAGTAATGGTTCTAAAGATGAGGGTCTGCTCGCTCTAGGCTTTAAGCACTAACCTATAAGCCATTACAAGGGCCACAAGCTGGCGATAGAGATCCAGAGAGCGAACAGTGGGGCTGAAGAAATCGGAGTGAGCCTCCATGAAGGGCAGGACGATGGAATAGTATTCACTTCGGATGTTCACCAAGTCCTTCTCCACGGCCTCCGGGACACCTGTACCCTTTAGGAGGCGCAGCCGCTCCTCCTCTGGCCTGCAGGGACAACCCACCCAGGGTCCTTTACAACCTGCCGCTCTGATGCTGCAGGTATCCAGTGCCCTGAGCAAAAGGGTTGAAACAGTTCTCCCCAGCCCTTCCCTCGACTCTCACCAAAACATGGGATGCTCCAAACGCCCCAGCTCTGGCCAGAGAGCGAAGTAGGGGCTCCAAGGTGAGGCTGGGGCTTGCAGCTCGTGGAGCAGCGCCAGGAGCAGCGGCACCCATCCGGACAGGCTCTGCAGCGTGTCTCGTTCTAGGGAAGACGCCTAGTGAACAACCGCCCAGGCGCGACACGGCCGCCAGCCTCGGAACCAACCCTCTGCCCCTTACCCACCTCGCTCCAGCAGGCCGCTGATGGAACAGGTGTGCGGAGACAGAAGCACCGAGCGCGGCACTGCGAACAGCAGCTCCCCCGGCTGCACGCTCTCCCGCGCCACCATGCCATAGCCGGCCACCGTGCCCTGCCGGCTCACCGCCACCTTGGGACTCAGCTCCAGCCCCACTCCCGCGCACCAGCGCAAGAAGCCAGCCACCGCATCGCCGTCGGGCTCGCCCCCGGGATTCGGGAGCGACAGGGGCGCGCGGGCGGCTCTCAGGACCGGGGAGGCCGCGGTGACCGGCGAACTCACCCGCGCGCGCTTGGCCGG